TCTTCCAGGTCCTCTCCTGAGTTTTCCAGCCTTTTTCACAGGCTTTTTAAAGAGGAAAATCCGGTACACAATTTTAAATTTGGATAAGCTGTAAAGCCTCCTGGAAGCCTGCTAGTTATACCACAGCATCACAGAAATTTTAGAAAGGTCAAGAAATACAAATCCTCAAGATAAGCCCTGTGTAGAGGATGAATTTTTCCTCCACAACAAAAACAGGGGAAGCCTCTGCATTAGGGGCAGCAAGTTAAGCCCCTCATGCAGGGAACCTCAGAGGCCAGAACAAGGTAGCAAGCAGTAGCAGAAATGTGAGTGAAGCCTCCCTGATAGTCCTGTTCCCAGTACAAAACAAAACAACCTTGAATGCAAGACACTGAGAACTAAAACAGCTGTTGTTGTTACATGCTGTCATCTCTGACTTCCAATGACCTTCCGAAAGAATGCCCTTCAAAATGCCTGTCCTTGACAGCACTGCTCAGCTCTTCCAAATTCAAGGTTTTGGCTTCCTTTCAGTTCATTTTTAATCTGGTCTTCATTTTCTTCTTCTGCCTTTCACTTTCCCTAATATTATTGTCTTCTCCAGTGAGTCTTGCCTTCTCATTAAGTGCCCAAAATATGACAGCCACAATCACATCATTTTTGTTTCTAGTTCAAGCTCTAGGACTTACTTGTGTCTGTCAGTCCACCATATTCACAAAACTCTCCTCACATCCATTTTCCTCCTGTCAGCTTTCCTCATAGCTTTCACACCTATACACAGCGATCCGGACTACAATCATGTGGATGATCTTGTCCTTGATCTGCAGTGAAACACCCTTGCTTATCTTTTGTAGTTCCTTCTTTGCTGCCCTTCCAAGTTGGTCTTCTTCTAATTTCTTTGCTGCTGGAATTGATGACTGAGCCAAGGTCTGCAAAAACATTCACAGTTTAAATTTCCTCACAGTTGTTATTTCAAATACATATCTCACAGCTATGTCTTTATTTTTACTCAAGAGTCAGATGTAAGGAGTATGATCTGGATCATAAAAAGCCACCTATGCCCACACTAGGATTCTGACAGATTAAAAAAGACCTGGCTGATGGATATATATTTAAAGTAATATCTGCTTTAGCTCCTGCAAACTAGCAGAACTTCAGGAAGGCAAGACACTTGAGAAGACCTAGTTAATATGCATTTGATGGGATCAGCAGTAGTGATGTGTGCCAGAGATTGTGAGGCAGAAACAAAGGAGAGACATTCACACTGGACATGTTCACACATCATATTAACCTACCCTGGCTATAAGCTACAGCAGGTTGATTGTCTGTGAAACAACCCACAGTGAGCCCAGCAGACTAACAGACTTCCTTTTTCCCCTTCAGTCTTCCTGCTAGAATCCCGGGGTGGGGGGAGAATCAATGAAAGAGTGACTTGTCACTATCACCAGCTGTTTTGGGCTTGCTGTGGCATTTTTGCTTTTTACCCTTCTTTTTTAAATCTCTATTTAGAAAGTTAGGAGGAGCCCCTTCAAACTGCTTCAGTGGCACCTTGGAAAGGCTGCAGTAATACAGAGCTATAGTACATCAAAAGGCCTAGAGAAAGTTGCAGTTGCATTCCAGTACGTGACTCCTGTCCTCTCCTCCTCCTCCTTGCTGGATTTAATGGTAAAGAATGTCCAAAAAGGCCATTTTCCTACTAATTTGTTGTAACATTACCACTTTTCTCAGTAAATCACCTATCTCTCTTGGCCTAATTCTTACTAGGCTGTACCATTTGAGAGCCCAGGTGGGAGTTCACATGATTTACTGATCCTTCATTTAAAAAAAAAAGAAAAAACCTCCATAAAAAACTGGCATTATAGAGGTAAGCCTAGGTCAGAATCTTTTTTACCTGGCACCTATACTTTCTGTGAGAAGTTTCCATATTGTGAAATATGCTATTATATAAGCCCTACCTAAGTAGAGCCGTCTAGACAGCTTTAACACTGAAGAGAAAATTGTCCATATGAAATACAGGAGGTTCATCTTTTTAAAGTTCCTCTTTTCAAATGATCATAATTTTGTGTACCCAAGTAGGTCCCGCATTCTTATCATCTTCCCTTGACTGTAACTGGCATGTGTTCCATAACTTAGTAACAGTAACACATACGATAACATGAGGATTCATCAGCATCATAGAGAGACATGACAATGTTTTAGGTTAGAATGCAACAATTCACTTTTAATGGCCGTTGAGCAACAGGACATAGAGAAAGATGAATGCATGGGGAAAACTGGGAGGCAGGCAAGTGTAACAGCAACTGACTTGTACCAAGTTTGGCCTGCTTTATTCAAAGCGTTTTTAGCCTGTTCTTCAGCCAAAACGGTTCCCCTAAACACCTCATTTATGATCCATAAAAACAAAATGATGGAAAAGTCATTAGACGAAATGAAAAACTGATGAGCAAAAAAGAAAACAAGCAAATTCAGGCACCAGCCACTTATGTAGAGCTGAGAGCCAGCCAAATCGATCTGGAGTGTCAGCTGACTTCCTCCTGTCAAGTGTCTCTTGGGGAAAGAAGGAACCCAATGGAACTGATCCTTCCACATACTTTATAATTCTGACTCCCAGCTTGATATCCATAGATGCCATTGAGCCTGCTAGGTTACACTGATGTCACCACATGACTCTTGCTGTATACAGGAATCTTTTTCTCCTGTTTAAGTGGATGGGCAAAACAAACAAACCTGACAAAAAACCAACCAGACAAGGAGAAACATGCCCCCTGTCACTTTGTTGGCAAAGTGGAATCCCCTGGTAGATAGTTTTTTCTGGAGGGAGGGGTGGTAGGGCAGCTTTTCCTCCCCTTTTCAAGAAAATGGAAAAATTTGATCTTTGATCATACTTCACCAGTGCTTTATCAAGTGCAGTGCCTCCCAGTCTGTTTCAAGGTACAATTCAAAGTGCCAGTGTTCACTTTTAGAACCTTGAATCCTGGGGATAAGGTACCTGAAATATTGCTTTTTCCAACCCTGAAATCTTCTTCGTGTGCTACTGAGACAAATGGAATAAATAAATGGAAACATTATTTCTTAGACCTTTAAAAACTATGAAGTTTTTTTTATTGTAATCACCTCTTTACACAATTATTTTTTTCTATGCTGCAAATGTGCATTATCCAGCAACAATACTACATAATTACTTGTCTGGCTGGTCAAAACAAGTCTGTCCATAATCCTCATCTTAGACTGATGAAACACAAATTTGTCAACTTCAAAATTGCGAACTTTGGAGCAATACGTTAATACGAGTAAAGTTGTGCACAGAATTCTTGTCTGAACTCACATGGATGTTACTTTCTAAGGAAATAATGAATTTACTTGGTGTAGGTTCATTCCACCAATTTCAGCAATCCTGTCAGTGTATCTGCTGCAAAAGCAAGGGTTCATTTCTGCTGCTTGTTCCAAGATACAGAAGCCAAAGTTTATGAGCAAACAACAGAAGCAAGACTTTATTCTGGAAATAAAGAGAATATCAACAAGGCAAGAGCTGAGAGGTTCACCTGGTACATCAGCAAGCCAAAGCCAAGAGGTTCATAGATCAAAGGGAATCAGTAGCTTTTATATCCATGCGGCTAAAAATCACTTCAGAGTATGTTTTTCTCCTAGGACAAAACCCAAACTCAGGGTATGTCCTACAAGGACAAACCCTATTGACCAGTTATGCCGCCTTAGCAGCTGGTTGGCTCTTTGCTTTAGGCCATATGCTGACATAGTATTACACCTAGGAGGGAGGCTCCAAAGAGCAACGTGTAGTTGACCACGTACACAATGTTCATTACAAGCAGTTGTACTTGTAATGAACAGAATGGGATGTCTGTGTGTGATAAGTTACATCTGCAGGGGGATGCTATTGCACTGTTATAGAATGGAATGCCATTAAGATAAGGAACACTGGTTAGGAACATTGGCACACGGTTTCCCAGGCAATTAGTAAAATTCCTTTATACAGACACTGGTTCCACATCTTGGTCAGTGGAACAGCTTTGATAGCACTGGTCTGCATGTGTATTGAAGAAATTCTGTGGATGTACCTGCAAGACAGTGGTATTTCTAGAATTCTGCTGACTTAATGGGGTGTCCACCAATTACTTCTTCATTCAGGGGATCTTACGCTCAAAACAAATTTTTATCTTACAATGGTTGTAGAAGGTGGTAAAAGAAGTTTAGAAAAGCATCATTTTCCTGTCACCCAGTGCAAATTATTTTGATTCTTGTGAAGAAACAATTCGAATTTTAATTCCACATAATCACTTTCTTAGATGAGGTTAAATTTTCCCTTTTAAATATTCAGATTTCTCAAAATAGTAAATAAAAGCTAAATTCCACAGTTATCTATTTCATTAGGATCAACCAAATTCCATAAAATTATGCATGTTTTTGTATTCTTCAGAACTCCTCATCCAAAGAGCATTCTGCAAAACTCAAAAGCTTGCACAACTTGAGGGGACTTGGGGTGAGCCTAATAATAAAAAACTAAATATCTCACTATTTCCCTCATGGACCAGCAGAGATACCTTTACTGTTTCTAGGGATTTTTAAATAATATATTTATTGCTCAAATCAATAAGTTATTTATTCATTTACATTTTCTATATTACAGAAAGTATGCAAATACGTTCAGGACCTTAATTCCAGTCCTGTAATACCTGTCTTCGCAGTTAACGCAAGGGAATGCGCAGCGGGGGCGGGGGGGGAGTTGCCCGTGTATTTCGGAAAATAAGTTGCAACAGTAAAACTTTGCTTGCAGGGGAAATGCGTAGGAGAATCTCCCACGGCGCTCCGCCGCGACCCTAATGCGCCCACTGCTCTATTTCTTTCGCTTATTTAAAAGAAAGGTCCCGACTTTCTGCCGCCAAAAGTCCTCGCAGCACGTCATGCGGCGGCAAGTGCCAGTCGGCGCGCGCTGGCTCAAGCACGTGACCGCGCTAGGAAGCGCCGCCCCGCCCCTCCGCGGAAAGGGAGCGTAGTGGGGGAGAGCGAGCGAACTGTCTTTTCGAACTCTCCTCCCTGGTCCCACACGTGACGTTCCCCTCCCCGGAACGTGGCATTGTGTAATCACGTGACCCGTACGGGGCGTGCGGGAGGGGAGGTGGGCCGTTCCGGAGGAATAGTGGGGGGGAGGAGGGGGGCTGCGTACGCGACGGAGCTGGGTGCGAAGATGGCGGACGAGGAGGCCGAGCAGGACAGCGGCAGCCTCGGCGTTGGCAGCGAGAGCGGCTTCCCGGATATGCGGAGCTTGAAAGAGCGGCTGCTGGAGCTAGAGACGGCGCTGAGGGAAAGCGACGAGCCGGCCGTGGAAGCGGCTACCGAGTACTGTCAGCACCTTTGCCAGGTCAGGACGGGCCTGGTCGCTCTTGAGGAGGGAGCTCCCCACGCACCCCCACCCCTAGCTCGGGGAGAGGAGAGGAAGGTGTTAGTAACTGGGCCGCGCTCCTGCCGCCGCCGCCGCTCATTGAAACTGGCTCGGAGCAGAGGAGGCGGGTGGCCCGCCCCCCTACGCCGGGAGGGAGCTTCTCACGGGCCCGGGATCCCCTCCCCACACCCGAGAGCGGTCCCCCCGCCTTCCCCGTCACTTCCCCGCTCCCAGCCGCCCTGGGCTCTCTCGCGCTCTCTTCTTGACTCTGCCCCTTTGTTGTGCTGGTGCCGCCTCGGCTCTGGAGGGGCCTTTGTCTGCCGATGGCGGCCGCGAGCTCGTATCTCTGGCCCAGAAATAGCAGAAGCGTGAAGGAGGGGAGGGGAGGGGAGGAGGAGGGAGGGGAGGGTTGCTTATTCCCTGGAGGAGGAGTTGGGAGAGGTCCTGGATGCGGGCTTCTCACCCACCCCATTGTATCTCAGAGACGTGCGCCTCAGGTGAGAGAACAAGGTCTTACTCTTCTTTCTCCTGATGTCGTTATTAGCTGCCCCTTTGCACTGAGGAGGAGCAGGCATCTGGATGCCCTATAATAGGGTAGGTTAATGACTGCCCTGAGAGTCCTTGCATATCCTCCATAGAACGGCATAGGAAGAGTCAGTTCAGTAATCAGGTTGGGCTCCCTATTGTTTTCATTATAGGACGTCTCAAATTGTCCTTGAATCTTCTGAATTGAATTAAATGACCTTACTTGATTGTTGGATTGTCTGCTAGTGATAGTTCCTCTCACTTTACAATCTAAACGAAACAGATCCATGCATGGTATTTGTAGCACTTGCTCAGTATGCACACTACTTTCTCTTTCCACCAGTGTAGATGTGTTGCTTGCAGATGGGTGTTTTAACTTCCAGTCACAACTAGCTCTCTTAAATAGTGCAAGAATTCCAACTGTTCATATTGTGCTAAACTAGTTTACAAAACTGTCAAAAGAGGCAAGGTAATAGTGATATGAAGAACATCTGTGCTTGAAATTAAGGAAGTACTAAAAGAAACCTTGGTGACAGAGCCCCACTTTTGACAATATCTGTTTATTGTTTAACATATATTCTAGCAATCTTTCAAGATCTTGTTTTACTGATAAATTTAAACATAGAGTTTTTAAAACCACTTTCATTAGGGGATATGGTATTATACTTATATTAAATGGTTCCAGATAATGTCAGAAATACTCAGGTAGACTGTGTTTCTGAACCTTTATAATGGAAAATAGCACAAACATAAAATTGAGCAGATGATGGCTATGAAAGTTGAATTATCAACTCATCACGTATTTGTGAAGGCTAAAATACTTACTCTCTGCATTGCACAAATGGTGGAATATGACCATATTTTGCTTTCTAGTTCCATTTTACATTTCTGCTTTAGAATTGAGAATTTTTGAAACGCAGAGTAGGAACATTGTAAAAGTGTGAGATATTCATCACTATGCAGCACAAGTAGTATAAAGGCAGTTGAACAGCATGGTTTCAAAGAATTAGTAGATTTTAGGTTTATAAAGTATTGTAGTGTGACTTCTTTAATCTAGAAAATGGCAATCAAAATTGTAATCTAGGAGGCAACACAAATCTCTACTTCAGCTGCGGATGTTGTTATTTTAAAGTGCCTATCCTTTTAAATGAGAATTGAGAGCATTAGTGTTTATTTTTTAATTCACATTGTAGAGCAGCACTTACTTTGTTAGTAGAGGAAACTAATTTTTGAAATGCATCTAGTCCAAAATGTATATTTGGATCAAAATCTGGATGGGTGATAACATAATTGAAACAGAAATGTATCTATGAGTCTGTTGGGGGGGGGAATAAGAATGCTTAAAGCTTTTTCTAAAGGTGTCCTAAGGACAATATATGGATTATAGATTTAATGCGTATCAGGCAGTATGCTGTCTTGGTTGATTCCACTGGTGTGTGAAGATTAAAAGGCCATTAACTAGATGAATACCAGTTAACAAGTACAACTACAGGTCTGTTGTCATTAAAAGAAAAAAGTTTCAAGTGCGTTTGGGTTAATGTTTAAGGATGCTTCATCCTGTTACAAAATGTTTATTGATAGGTGCTGCAGTATGCCATATATTGTATCTGAAAGAGAATATTTAGCTTGGTTCTTATCATGAACTGCTATAGCACATTGGTAGAGCATGATTTGAATGCAAACGTTCCTGGACTTAATCCTTGGCATTTCCAAGTGGGACTGGGAAAGATTCCTGGAGAGTCACTGCCAGTCAGTAGCTGTGTTCAAACAATTATTCTCAGCTTGATAAACATATAGCAAGGAGTGCTTTGCTCTCCTGTTGGTGGTCAAAGAAAAAAAACACTGAAAACCTATAATTAACCATAGCTTCCTGTTTTGGACAAACTGGGAAATTGGTAACCAGCTTTAGGACCAGCCAGGATATTACATGAACTTAAAACTGTGATAGCCTGACTTGGGAAAGTATACCTGCTAGTTTCAGAATAATTCAAATAAAGTGGGCAACTGTGGTTAATTAGAGATTCTTTGGTATGCTTATATAACAAAGGACTTGTGTGTATGGACAAAAGGCTTCTCTCTATGATCGTAAAACTTTCTTATGTAGGCAATTCCAAACTAGATGGACTAATGGTCTGATCTGATATACAGCTTTCTGTTTCTAAGTACATGTACTGAGAAGAAATCCGCACTATCAATAGGATTATGGCACCGTTTGCATCTTTTCTTACTCTTTCTAGGTCAAAATCTGGTTTCTTTCTTTAGAGGTAGAATAATAGGAACAATTTCAAGGCAACACTTTTGTTTATATTAGAGTCAGTGCAGACTCAGCACTGACTCCCTGCAAATTAGAAGTCAATCTCAAGGTTGCATGGTACCAGGTAGCTTCTCACCTCTTCTCACAATTTCTCACTAGCACAACAGTCATAAACTTTGGCTTTGTCTGGCATTGGTGGAGACAGAAAGAACAGTTAATTCACATTAGGATTCTTTGTCAACAATGGTTTGTGATGAATCATAATATTAAATATAAATCCTTGGATCAGGGGTCTATCTAGCCCAATGTGAATAGTGGGAGTAGCAAGTATACATGGGCAAATTGTCTGCTACTTTTCTAGGATATTAGGTTCACATATCAAGGTAAATGATAACTATCATAAAGCTGTGTTGTCTTTTGTGATATCGTACAGAGGGAAACGCTATCAACTGAGGACTCATATAAGCTAAGGTGAACAGAAGATATGGCATTGCTCAGATAAGATGTATAAAATAAGTGCTTATTGGTCATAAGTTTTAACTGAGATTTGAACTTTGTGTGTGTGAGGGAGCAAGAGAGAAAGAGGATATACAATGACATTTCTTCTTTTGAGTTAGAGTCCTAGCACACATCTGTAGCTCCATCAAAAAAGCAGTTGAAAGCTTCATCTCATGCATTCTTAAAATCATTACAAGGTTTTATATAAACTAACCATGGCCTTACGAGCAAACCTTTGCTCAAGTTGACTTAAATATGGCAGGTTACAGCTTGGATCTAACTAATCATTTGTAAATAGAAAGATCCCTTCTGTTATTAATGGGGCTGAGATCTAGGATCCCTCAGTCCTTTGGAGCAGAATTTTGGAGGTATAAGAAGCTGAAATTCATCTCTTTCCCACTTCTTTTCAGCTAATGGGAGTGTTCATGAGTAGAACTCTCTTCAGAAAGCATGTTTACCAGCACAAGCAAACTTAGGATTCTGGCCACCATAAACAAGTTGAATATATTAAACCAAAATGATGTTAAACATTTTCACACCCAAAACACTGTAAGGAGCTTGACAAAGCTGCATATTTTTATGTCAAGGGAATGTGTGTTGAGTTTATTCCCCCCCCCCCGCATGTCATTTCTTCATAATGATGCTTGAGAATATAAACAATAGAGTTATGAAAACTTGAACTGCAAGAAATAATTTCCATATTAAGTCATTATGATTGCTTATTCTACTTTAAAATGTTAATTTTAAAGCATGTGAGATAAGAGAGAACCAGTGAAGGACAAGAAGCTAGATGAATAGAGTGACATAACCAAACCCTCATTTCTTACTTGGACTGAACTAAAAATATTTTACCTGACCCCGATTACTAGGTTGCAGGTGCTTGAATTAACCTATCTAGGGGCCCCTAGTTACAAAATGTTTACTGTTCACACTGCTCAGTTTGCCTGGAAGGTGCTTGTTGGAATCAGAGCTGAGCTGTATGCCCATGTCAGACTGACTTTAGGGCATACTGATTTTATAATAAATAAGGAGACCTTATGAAAGATCTGGACACCTCACTAGCTTATGGATAAGAAGGGTGAATCCTTTCATGCATTACAAGAGGAATTTGGCTTCCCAAGCACAACAGATTTGCAGTTTTTATAAAATAAATCCCTCTCATGTCCATTTTTAGACTAGTTGCTTGTGCAGCAACTGTGTCCCCAGAGTTCTTAGAAGGTCTGGTTGGGGTTACAATATCAATGAAATGTTTATATGAGTTTTCTTTGTATAGATGTAAGATGGTTTCTATCATACTTCTATTGGGAATGATAATTGAAATCCCCCATTCAACCTAAGCAATAGTGTATTTTATATTCATCTATCAGAAAGACCATTCTTGACTTGAGAGTGCATCTCATCCAACAAAAACTAATTTTCCAAATGGATGCTACAGAGGCTTCAGTACATATTGTTATCTCATACCCTGATGTGTTGATAAAAGTACATAATTTTGATAAATTTTGAAGCCTTGGCAGGGGGAAGTTTTTCTTGGAGTTTTTTCAGAAAACGTCAAACACTTCCCAAAAGGCTCTCTTTTTTCCTTCTCTTTTTACAGAGCTGAAGTCACTTTTGTTGTTTTAGGACATGCTTTCCAACATGGTACCATTTTAGTCTGTAGCTCTCATTAGCCCCAGGAGTCATGGCCAATAGTCAGGAGTGG